TGGACCACTTATGTGGCCCTATGGGTTATCAGTAATGCAGTCCCATGTCAATATTTTAGACTGTGCAAGCCAAGGCCAATGGTCACCTGCCAAGACATACACAATGAAGATAATTAGGAAAAAAATTATGTTGGATATTATTATTCAATAGGCACAAAATTTAAAGAAAAAAGATTGTTATTAAGGAGGTGAATGGATCTAGTGAGCAAACAAAATGAAATGACTAAAGAACATAATATCTTCAGAGAGCCAGATATTATTATTCTATCTGCTATGATGAACAACTCACATAAGTGGAAACTGTTACAATTAATTACCTGCACATAGATTGTTGTTGGCTCTGTGAATTCTTTAAGCCTGAGAAATAAACCGCAGTTCAGTTATATGCTTGACAGGGCTYTAATTTTTTTTGTGTGTGAATTTTTGTAAACAGTGAAAAAGAAAATATTAGCTTTCTTTCAAAGAATGTGACTTGAGATCATTAAAGACTAGCACTTTTCTTTAGGAAATAGTAGATACTCTTTGAAGTTGAGGATTATGTTTGTCTTTTTTTTTTTTTTAATCATTATATGTCCCTGAGGTTACTTTGGTGACTGGCATATATAAATATTCAATGAATATTTACAGAATTGAATAGTTTTTGAATAAATATTGATATTTATCATTAGTTATAACAGCWTTGCTCAATCTTTTAACTTGTATCTTTTTAAAAACATTTAACATTCATTGATGACTTTAATTTTTATAGTTTAAAAACAATAGGTATTTMACTACCTTGCTTTCCCAAGTCCTCTACCCAACTGAGAATCACTCTACTTTATTAGGGCTTAAGTTATTATAGTTGCATAACTAATAAAACTTAGTGGCTTGAAAACCCTGCCATTTATTACATATATGCATCTGCAGTTTATGAAAGACTAGAAAGACATGAATTATTTCTAGGTTATGTGGTATCAACTGGGATGACCTGAATGGGCCAGGAAAATCTACTCTTTTGTTGACTTGGCCAAATAACGTAAACTGATGCTGTCAAACTGTGTGCTGTACGTATAATCGCAAATTGATGGAATGTTTTCTTTCATATTTTAAATGTCATTATTAAATATCATGAATACAGATAAAGAGAAAAGTGATGGTTGAACTTCCTACATAGTCTTAAATGTTATCAGAAATGTATGCTCTTACCAATATTCAAATTGCTCAGCCGCCAATCAGGATTTAGCTGGGAGTTCAATAAAAACTATTGGCCAGAGGCCTTTATTCCTTTCCATGAGGGCATATGTAGAAGAATACCAGGGCTTCCTCACAACATGGAAACTAGGTTCTAATAAGGTGTTCAAACTAGGTGTTCAAATGATGAGAAACTGGAAGTCTCTAGTTTCTTAAGGCCTGAGCCTGTATACTGGTACATAATCATGGTTACTATATCTCATTGGTTCAACAATCATGGGGTAGGCCCAGATTCAAGGGGAAGGGATGTAGATTGTGCCTGTCAATGGAAAAGATGACTGAGAWTTTTTAGGCATCTTTAACCTACTATAATTATCTTCAAAATAATTCCTTTGTGGTGAGTGAGAAAAATGTGAGTTTTTGGACAAGATATTTTACTGGTATGTACTCCAGTATTRCTAAAACTATAAATATGAAAAGCTTATGAAATCATCATTTTTAAGTCCAAAAGATTACAAAAAGCTTATAAAAAGAGCCTTATGAAATTRTCACAAATCTTCCTAATTATTAATATGATATATGTGAATTGGCTATGTACATTATCTCCATTCAAAGGTTAAATAATGTAACAGGTCTCTGTAAAATTCACCATCCCAAAATCATAGTCATTTATGTTTGATAAGTAACAATGGACCTTCTAATTTATTTATTGTCTTACTATGGCGAGGTCATGTATTACTTTAGTTTCTAAATATTTTATTACTGTACCAGCTTTAATAATGTATATTCCTTCTGTATTTTTGAAGCCCCAATAGTGACATTTTTATGTAAAAGAAGAATGTTTCTGAAAAACTGTTTCTTAGTTTGGGGTATGTAAGCTTAYTTGAAAAATATTTGAACAACTACTGTGTTGCAGGAATTACTGTATTTTGAGAACATATAGTAAWGAACAATAGAAGTCAGTCCACACCTACCTTCCTGGAATTTACATTCCTACTAGGAAGATGGATAACAAAGAAATAAATATGTAATGTAAATTAAAATAATGATAAAATAAACAAGCTCTAATAAGAGGATGTGGAGTGTGATATTGATGGAAGGGAATGTTTAGACCCTATGGTCAGGGGAGCCATCTAAGGTGAGTTGGGTTTTGAGCAGAGATCTGAATAATGAAAGGAAATAGATCATATAAGCAGCATATATTTTTGAGTGCATATTTAATGTACTCAGAAAGATAAAACATCAAGAAATTTGTCACAGCTCAAACTTTTCTATTGATATTTAGTCATTCAGTCACTCTGTGTCTTACTTGGGGGAGTTTAATCGATTTAAATTTAACATAATTATTGGTAAGTAAGGTCTTACTACTGACATTTTATAACCCAGTTTATAGTTTTTTTTTTTTTAGTTTCTTTCTTCCTCTTTTATAGTCTTCCTTTGTAGTTAAATGATTTTTCTCTGGGTAGTAGTGTGTTTTGATTCCTTCCTTACTATTTTTGGTCTGTTATAGGTTTCTGCTTTGTTGTTACCATAGGCTTACAAAAAAATCTCTTTTATTTGTAACAAGACATTTTGAAATGATAACAACTTATTCATTGATCATAAAGATAAGAAAAAAATAGAAAAGATACTGAAGAACCTGTACACGTACACTTCATTTTCCCCACATTTTGAACTTTTGATCTTCTGTTTTGCATCTGTCTATGTGGCTTCTTAACATATTAATGYCATTATTTTTAATTGTTTTGTTTTCAGTCTTTGTACTAAAGATCAAGAAGGTTTATATACCGTGCTTACAATATTAGGTAATTCTGAATTTGCCTTTTATGGTGAGTTTTATACCTTTCCTTTGTCATACCTTAAGGGACACATCTGGCAGTGATAATCTCTCAGCTTATTTGTCTGGAAATATCTTTATCTTTGTTTCATGTGTGAATCAAACAGTATTTGTTAGCATGTTTCTTTTCCCCCTCAGCATGTGAAAATTCCATCCTATTACTTTCTGCCCTGTAAGGTTTCTACCAAAGGTAGTTTTTTGTGTGGATAGCTTCCAAGTGATGCTTCTCTGGGAGATGTTATTCTGTTATCACCATCCTCCTCTTTAGTATGGACATTTGTTAAACTAGAAGGCAGTAGTTAGGTATGTGTTAATATAGCACCCTGCAAACATCTTGGGGTTCTTAACAAGTAAAATATATCAAAATAGGTAGTTCTGTGATATTAGCCGTTTATATAATGGGGCACTATTACAAAAAATGATGTTTTGTAATAGTGCCCCATTATAATTAAAGCATTATTTCATTAACCCCTAAAGTATTCATTATTTTAAAAACATAAACTCTCCTTTTTTTCTCTTTTCTGTAAACTTGAAATTCCATTTTTGTTAGATGGTTCTTCTATCATTTAGTTGTTCCCATTGCTTCTTTTCGTCTTTAGTCTTTATTACTAGCAACAATGATAGAATAGTGATGTTAGTTCTGTGATTACTTTTTTAAAGTTTTAAAATATAAATATTCAAAGATTTAAAGACACAGTTGAGAAACTTCAGCTGTATTTCTACTCAGTTTTAGAAAGATATCGTCTATCTTAAAAGTTGTCCTTGGAATCAAAACTTCTACTTCTCTGCCGGAAAACAGACTAAATGTTTATAAAATAATAGCTTTCATTTGTGAAATTAAAATCTGTTATACTCTGAGGAGAACAACTGTTGTTGAAGACACAAATGATATATCCAAAATAGTATATTAAGGATCATAAGTTGCTTTGCTATCGTGATTTTCTACTAGTTTCATTAAATGGGATTTGGCTCATGAAGTTACAAAATGAAATTTATTTTTCCCACACTCCGTTTAGAGGAGTTGTTTTCAAATGATTAGAGGATGCAGGATGTAAATGATCACCACCTGATATTCTGCTTTATTACACAAAGCCTGTGGTTACTAAACACCTGTTTTTACTGACTATTAGGTGGATAAAGTACTGTCCCCTTTTCGAAAGAACTTCCTGGTAATGATCTCTTGCATCTAGAGTCGGAGACTGGAGGTGTGTTCTCTTCTGGCTAAACTCAAGTACTTTTAAAAGTTTTACAGTTCTAAAACAGCAAGTCATTATTCACAGCCTGWCCAGATCTGAAGAAAGAAGATTTGGTAAATTAAGGATTTAGAAGGGGGCAACAGTCATTGCCGTTCATGGCTTCCAGGAGATAAATAACAGTGCTCAGTGAGCTGTCTTTATTCTTAAAATGATGGGATCAAAAAACTTGTAGCCACTGGCATACTGACATGAGTTTCATAACTCCAGGCACCTCCAAAATTTTATTTTAGCTTTTAATTCCAACTCTGATTATCTTCCAAAACTTCTAAAAATGGAGCATTTTAATTTGTCTCCACTCCACATATTTCTGATGTGCTGTCAAAAATATTTATAACCAGAGAAGTATTCCAAAAGCTGGAAGCAGTCAGCAGTAAGAAGAAGCCTGCGTTTCTAAGCTAGATCATCAGTCCCTGGAACAATTTAAATGCATTAGGCTTTTTTCAGGAGGATGAGGCTGGAGGTTAACTTTAATCCTAAGGCTAGAATTTCTAAGGTAAAATTATAGCTTTGGATAATCTGATTCATTATTACATATTTTAACCACCCTCATGCTTTGTTAGGTTGACTAGTATGGTACATGCGTACAAAATCATGTTTATCATATGGAAGGTAACATTTCCTAAGTGAATACCAGGAGCCAGGTGCTCTCTTTAGGCATTAACCCATGTAAATTTATAAAATCATCTCTTAAATATTTTGGGGATATTTGTTTTATTTCCTTCATTCTTCTTTTTCAGCTCTTCTTTATGCAACTATTTTTGGAAATGTCACCACAATTTTTCAGCAAATGTATGCCAACACCAACCGATACCACGAGATGCTGAATAATGTTCGGGACTTTCTGAAGCTCTATCAGGTCCCAAAAGGCCTTAGTGAACGAGTCATGGATTATATTGTTTCAACATGGTCCATGTCAAAAGGAATTGACACAGAAAAGGTATGGTTTATTATTGTTGTTGTTATTAATATTCTATTTAAAAGAAGCTTTGATGAATATAACTTTCCTATCCACAGGTTGTTTTGTAGATGTTACTCTGTGTTTTGTGACATTTCAATCCATCATATTTATTTTGATAACTTTAAAGGAACAGAGGACTCAACTATTAATCATTAATTCGTTTTAATCATGATACTTAATTTATGAAATTTGTTTCCTGAAAACAACTAATTATTCCATTTCACTAAAATGCTCTTATTACCACTCAATGTAATTTGCTTCATTCCTCTTAAACTCTCAGAGTGCTGTCATTTCTGCTGCTAGATTTTACTCTGATTTCTTCTTTGGCTTTTTTGTCCATTTAAAAATTATTAACATCTCTGCTATAAACAAAGAAAAAAATGATGTTTTTGTCCATGCTACCCTCCAATTATTATTTTTTCCTTTGCAGATGTTGTATAAAGTAAGTTGAAAGTTTTTATTTTCCACTTTGGTTTACAAGGGATGCCTCCCTATCYAATCATCTGACAACTGTAATTTCTTAATTGTCTTTTCATGGAACTGTTTTTAATTTTTTCTGTTGACTTCATATTTGGGCAAACAAGGACCCAAAGTTCTCCTTATAATAAACAAAATAATTTTTAAAAATTCTCACTTCCTATACCTAGCTGATTCACATCAAACATCAGGCATGACAAATACAATATGTATGTAATTTTAGAGGATGCCCACTTGAGCTATTTAACTTTACAAATTTTAGTGAAGACTTCCTGTTAGGTACTGATTTTTTAACATGTGATAGTCAAATAGCGCAATAACTTCCTGGCCATTTTCTTCAAATTACTTTTGTGTTGTTGTTGTTGTTTTTAAACCACATGGGGTTAACTTGTGTCCCTGCCACCCCAAGACCTGTGCAATAAGCTTTTTTTTTTTTTTTTTAACGTAGAAGAGAAAGCACTTTGACTACAGTAGATGTTTAGTTAGGGGAATTTTGTAAAACAAATAAGTAGCTTTAAGCTAGAGCAGGTGTTGTTAGGATCAAATAGTTGAGGGGAAGATTGGGGAGTGGATATGGAATGTAACAGTTGAGGCAGAGGCACCTTCAGAAGGAGTGCATGTAAGAGATAATCAGGGGTAGTTATAGGAAGGAATTGAGGAATCGTTGATCTAATCTTCTTCCAACCTTTTTCAAGATGCAATATAGATTTTCTAGTTAAATGGCCATATAGTAGTATTCATGACTATGGAGGGAAAAGCAGCATTTCTATGAAATTTGATTCATATATACCTGAGCCAATATATGAAAAGTCTCCAGAGGAGAAAGAAGATCTTCATCAGAATGAGGATGAGAGAAATAATTGAGTTAAAGTTACCCAATGCAGGAGGTCCTTTGAAGTCTGCATTAAGTTAAATAGATCCAGAGGCAACCCCTGCCTTGTTAATCACTATCTTAGTGAGATGTTTTTCTTTCCAGAAAACACAACAGGGTCCCATGGTAGCTAACAGAAAACATCAATGAAATGRTGTCATCATGACCTTTTGCATATTGAAAAAGGACTTGGCCTAGKGCCTATGCTTACAAGGCAGATTTTRTTCTCTGTATTCCCAGATATTGGGGTGGTTCAGAAATGGAGCTGACTATTTTTTCTCAATGCCTGCCTTTGAGGACATGCTCACCTGTCTGATTTACATGTAGTTAGGGTGTCATGCAGTGACATGGACTGTGTCTGCAGATGCCTGTGCCATGTGACAGAAAACAATTTCTAAGTCTAATATCAAAGGTAAAATAAAAATCTAATTAAAATGACATATTTTTGAAGAGATATTTAAAATATTAAATGGATTAGCCTTTGTTTTAGAAAATATCTCGAGTGGTAATTCCTTAYGGTTATATTTTTCTTTTTCTCTTTTTGCATATTTAAAAAAATTAATGCCTAATAATTATACATGATTATGGGATACAGTGTGACAATTCAATACATCGGTACAATGTGTATTGATCAGCATTTTCATTTCTTTGTGTTTAAAACCATAAATATGTTCTTTTCTAGTTATTCATAAAATATGTATAGTGGGCTATTGTGAACTTTCACTGCCCTACTGTGTGTGGAACAGTAGAACTTATTCCTTCTGTCTAACTGCACTTGTGATCTGAATAGACATTTCTCAGAAGAAAAATACAAATGGTCAATAGATATATGAAAAAATGCTCAATGTCATTAGCTGTCAGGAGAATGCAAATCAAACCTATAGGGAGAGATCTTCTCACCCTGGTTAGAATGGCTGTTATCAAAAAAATTAAGAAGTAACAAATGATAGTAAAGATGTGGTGAAAAGGGAAATCTTATACACTGTTGGTGGGCATGTAAATTAGCATAGCAATTATGGAGAGCACTATGGAGTTTCCTCAAAAAATTAAAAACAGATCTACCATAGRATATTATATATAAACCACTTCTGGATACATATGATATGAAACCAAAGCAATATAATAAATAAATATTTGCACTGCATGTTTATTGCAAGACTATCCTCAGTAGCCAAGACATGGGAATCATTGTAGGTGTACATGSACAGATGAATGAGAAAGAAGATGCAGCATCTGTACACAATATAGGATATTATCCACTCACAAAAATTTATATCTTTTTTATTTAGAGAGAGAGAGAGAGAGAGAATTTTAAAATATTTTTTTAGTTTTAGATAGTATGCATTTGGGGCTATTCCAGAGCTCATACCTTTTGTTTCTTCTCTTTTCTCTCTACATTCACTCTTGCAGTGGTACTATCCAATCTCATGACTTTAAAAATATATGCAACAGTGCTAGGATGTGGCTCAAGTGGTAGCGTGCTCACCAGGCATGCGTGGGGCGCTGGGTTCGAGCCTCAGCACCACATAAAAATAAAATAAAGATGTTGTGTCTGCCGAGAACTAAAAAATAAATACTGAAAAATTCTCTCTCTCTCTTTCTCTCTATTTCTTTCTCTCGATCTCGTTCTCTCGCTCTCTCTCTCTCTCTCTGAATAAAGTCTATCTTTAAAAAAAAATTTATACACACACACACACACACACACACAAGACCCAAATGTACTTACTCATCTTGAACCTGTTCCCTGAACTAAGGTCTCACCTGTCCTGCCACCTTCTCAGGTCCAATGAAATTGTCGAAAATAAAGCTCCTATTCATTTCCCCTAGTTAAATTCATGGAAACTCTGCTTTTGAGTTGCTTAGGACCAAGCCCCTGGCATTTAAACCTTTTGTCTCCATGTCCTTTCTCACCACTCCATTGCTATCGCCTGGTCCAAGTTACCATCATGCTCGACCCAAGATTGTAATAGSCACCAATGGGTCTGTGCTTCCCTCCTTTGTTCCCTTATGTTTTCTCTCAACATAGCATCCAAAGAGCATATATGGATTTTTTTTGAGAGAGAGAAAGAGAGAGGGGGAGGGAGGGAGGGAGGGAGAAAATTTTTTAATATTTATTTTTTTAATTTCGGTGGACATAACATCTTTATTTTATTTTTCTGTGGTGCTGAGGATTGAACCCAGGGCCCCGTGCATGCCAGGCAAGCACACTACCGCTTGAGCCACATCCCCAGCCCAACATTTATGAATTTTGTAGTAAAGTTTTCTTTCTAACCAATCATATATTCATTTTCATTTGTTCTGTAGGTGTTTGATAAGAGCCAAATTGATTGAAACTGTTGAAGTATAAGTGTGGAAACAATGAAAGGTTGATGACAGTAATCATAAAAATTCTCTGGTAGTCATAATCTTAGAATTATGCATGGACTTTAGGATATAACTCTAGTAGAGAACATCTGAATTTTAACAATTATTCAGCATTTGATGTTAGGCTCCTCTGTTCCTCAGTAAGCTAAATTCTTTGTCTTATCATGTTTCTTACTGCACAGTTTGTTGATGGTTTCAGATATTTTATTAATGGCRTTTTTAAATAATTTAATTATGAGTATAAACTAAAAGATGAGTTATAGTATATAAAGCTCAATGTCTATTTTAATGCTTCTCTTTTGTGTTCTAAAATGACTGTATTTTTTCAGTTCCACATACAATTGAATTTAATGATGCATTAGAGCAAATTAGAGAAAAACTTTCACTCCAATTACTGAGATTTCTTTCCATCTTTTCCACATATATAGTTTCATAGATTTCTGAATTTAGGTTTAACCCACAAGCAAATTAATCACTGTGATATAATTTAGTCTAAACTTTCCTTATACAAATAATGCGTTCGCTAATACTACAGTGGCATTAAAATCTGTACAGATGTGGAGACTAACATTTCTATTAAGAAATTTTATTTTAGGCATAATTTTAAAAATAGATAACAGTGCCTAGATTAATTTTTTTATTTGAAAAATTGCTATAGTTGCTTTAGATTCTTTTTGCCTTTAATAACCAAAACTATCCCCTGGATTTTGCCACTTGTTCCCATTTTGTGCCTTAAAAGACAGAGAAATGGGTGGAATGAGTGAGGATTTGAAAGGGTAAAAGAAGATTATGGGAAAAAAAAATAGGAAGGATGATGGCTGAAGCTCAGAAAAATCTATTCTGCAGTTGGAAATAACTTTCCTAGGAAATAATTCTAATGAAATAAATTAGTAGGATGTTATTTTCAGCTTTTGGGATGATTCAAAACATCTACAATGTATAATTTTTCCCATCATACTGGATTTTTTCCCAGCTTATTTTATAGAATGAAGCCTAAAACCTGAYTATTTTATTTGCTGTTCTTACTGCCTTTTTCTAACATATAGCTTGGAAAAAATCAGTAGGAAAAAACCTTCTTGGTCTTCATTTTGTGTTTTGTAAAGGCACAAAGTTTCAGGAGGAAAATGCTACTAAATGGAATGTTCTGGGAGAGTTTTACAACACATTCAGGCAAAATTTAAACAAACTGAGATTTTTGCACATTTGAAAATCTTAGAATTTTTAAACCAAATTCATTACAGATGCACATGATTTCTTCCAAATAAGT